ATTTAGCAAGACACTGTCTCAGAACAAAACAGAAAAGGGCTGAGGTACAACTCAGGCGTACATGAGGCCCTGGGTTCAAATAACAAAACAGAACCAAAAAACACCACGCCTTGCAACAATATTCTGATAAAAAGGTAAGGAAACACACAAATGTAACTTTAGGTTAAAAATAAGCAAATCGCTACATAATCACCCGAATGAGACTCACAGAGAAAACAGAACGTTTCCACAGTGCTTACCTCTGAGTGGTGGTGGTAGTACTGCATACACTTTTTGGTATTTTCTAATTTTTTTATAATAAAATGTGGAAAAATATTAAAGGCTGATCAGCTGGGCTCAGAAGTGAAAAATACAAGCCATTTACCTGTTCTTAAATTTCGTGAAGTAAGGCAGCTGTTCCTGGATGACACAGAACTGTCACAAGGGTCATCCAGGAACTACTGCACAGGCCACACGCCCCAGTTCCCTCAAACAGGCCTCTGCCAAAGTCGGCCCAAGACCCTGACCCCTACGGCACCCCACCCAGGAGTCCAGGACCGGTTACATCTGAGAATACGGCACGCACACTTGTGCGCCCTCCAAGGCGCCACCACACGCGCCAGGTGTAAGAAACAAAGCAAGCAGGCAAGAGGCTGAAACAACACACACACTGGGCTCCTGAATTTATTTGCCACAGAACCCTCGTTAATTAACTGCAATTAATATTCACAATGGAGAGCCCAAGTCAAATGGCCTCACATCAGAAACAGCTTCCCGTCATGGCGGGGCTCTTATCGCAGGCAGTGTTGCACAGTTTATACATATTATCTTGTTTATTCCCCAGAATTCAACAGATGCTTCGTTCGCTCTCGTTAGTGAGCGATGGGGTCTTGTGGGGTCTTGTTATGTTGCCGGGCTGGCCCTGAACTCGAGCCTCCTGACAGACAGCCCCCTGAACAGCTGCGATCAAGGGCGGGAGGCACCCTGCACTGTGCGGGATGCTGTCATTACCAGCGTCGTGTTAACAGTGAGGAAACTGCCAGGCATGGTGGCGCACGCCTGTAACCCCAGCACTTGGGAGGCTTGCGAGTCCAAGGCCAGCCTGGGCTACAAAGTGAGCTCAAGCCCAGCCGGAACTGCATTGCAAGACCCTGTCTCAAAAAGACAAAACAAACAAACAAAAAAAAAAAAAAAAAAAAAGAGGAGACTGGCATCTAGGGCAGTTTAATACTCACCCTAAGGTATTCCACTCTGGTCATCAAAACCTTGTCTTTACTATGTTTAATAGTTGACTTTCCAATGTTTGTACCTCTTTGTAACTTTTGCCTCCTCTTTTTCTGTCGTGTATCTCTTGAGGATGTCCTGGTTTGACTAGCTTTCCCCCTACACCCTTCCAAAATGCGCTGCTGACAGGCACAGCATACGACCAAGTGCAGTATTATTTGAACTGGGCAAAAGCAAGACTCAGGAGGCTCTGCCTGTCATCAAAGTCCACTCCTTCGGCTGCCCAAGGTTCAGACCCATCAGGATCTTCCAGCTCCTAAGTGCTGCCAGAATCATTTACATACACACCGAGCACAGCCAACCACAGCACAGCGCTACCAGGTTTATCCAGTCCCCCAGGGCTCCCCGGCTAGAGGCTCAAGCCCAAGCTCCTTACCACTGGGGCCGATGAGGCCATCTGGTCCCTGCCCGCCTCTCTGGCCTCGGCTCCCTCTCACCCGCGCTGGTCCCTGCTGCGCCTGTAACAGTGCTGCGTGCACGCGCTCCCTGCTGCTTGCCTGGCTGCCCAGCCCAGGCCTCAGCCTGCACCCACATCACCTGCCCTACTCCGCCTCATCCTCTGAATCACAGCTCCTGAGTCACTGTCCCCTCCAGGAAACCCGGTGAACCTCTCCCATCCCCCACAGCCTTGCGGGGTCTCCGCCCCCATTGGGGTGTGTAAGCTGCACCAGCTTCCGTACACCCACACAACCCTAAAGGATGAAAACTTGGGGCGAGGGTTCAATCCCCCTGGAAGGGAAAGAGAGAAGGCAGGGGGGAGGGAGGGACAGACTGCGGCTTACGACTGCACACACCACAGGCGGGTAAGTGAATAAACCTCCGTGAACTCAGCTGTGTTTGCAAACTGTTGTGGGGCAAACATTCACCAGCACTCACTCGGCCCCTCCTCCGGCCCAGTGGCGGGCGGGACTCGGACACAGCCTCACAGCGCCACACACGGCGCCACACGGCGGAAATAATGACAGGTTCGCCTTCAAAGTAACGTTCTCCATGGCAGCGTTCGAAACACTATTCAAATGCTCACTTCCCATAAACAAGGTGCCTCACAATTCCATGAGAAGTAATGACATACAGTAATGTGACCAGCACGAACGAGACCCACCACTTCCCTGCTTTCACAAAGAACTTCCCTCTGCCTTTGGGACAAGGCATTTTTCTGAATAATGATGGAATCTGAAGGCTATCTTGCTGCAGAAGGAAATAACCCAAAAAGAACTGTCTCAGCTTGCTCTGCGCATCAACGATCACCTCGATGAGGACTGATAACCTTGCAGATAACCTTGCACTGCGTCCCTACCAATCTCCATAGCAACATTCTGCCACAACAGTGAGATAAAAGCCAAATATGCACCACGCTGGCCTTGGCTGGCTGGAACACACCCTCTGCGCACACAGCGCCGTCTACTCCGCTTTCAGCCAGGACGCTGTAGCAACAACAGCTTGTCAGCTTGCCCAGAAAGAAAGGTCATTGGGCTTGTGCCTCCCTAATATTCAGCGGCACCTCTTTCTTCTCCCAAGCCACCAGTGACTCCTGGTGACCTTTCACACTTGGCACTTCCCTGGATTTCAAGCGGCACTTGGAGGGCAGCGCTCCAGAGCCCCACCTCCTCTGGGCTGCAGACAGGGCGGTGCGGGGGCTCACCTGTGCTGCCCCTACTGAAAGGGTCAGCGGCCCTCCTCCCGCCCCTCACACCACCCAAAGCCTAGCACCCCCACTGGCTGAGCAGCACTCACTGAGTCCATCCTTGCAGCTGGGCACTGTGCTGGATGCCAGGGTGGGAAAGACAACCCCAGGGCAACATGGAGCCCCCCCCCAACAGTCAGGGACACAGGAAGTGAGGGACTTACAAAGCAGGGGTCAAGAGCCACAGAGGAGGTAAGTGAAGAAGCCTGGGGTGATGCGCCTGAAAACGCGGCTTGGGGGAGCACTTCGGAAGGGGAAGCTGACGGGGCCCTTCGCAGGCCAGGAACGGGGCTAAGCTGCTCCACACCTTCCTAGAACCCTAACTCGAGTCCTCTGGCTTCTTTTTCCTTGTGCGGAACTAGGGACTGAACCCAAAGCCTCACACTCGCTAGGGAAATGCTCCACCACTGAGCTATATCGCCAGCCCTTTTTATTTTTGAGATGAAGTCTTGCCAAACTGCCCAGGCTGGCCTCAAACTTGTGATCCTCCTGCCTCGGCTTCCCAAATCCTGGGACTCCAGGTGTACCGTCGTGCCTGGCTCTTCACCCAGCCTGGCCTGCTGGAGTCTCCTCGGGCCGAAGCAGCCCGCATTCCTGACTCTCCCTGCAGACCAGCTGCTCTGGTCCCAGCCATCGAAGCAACTGCCGTGGAGCCCGCACCGGGCACGCTACCCTCGACACTCTCATTTCCCGCCACTTCCGGCACAGCAGCAAACCCCATCTGGCCAGGCCGGACGAGGACTCAGCCGTGCAGCCCGGCCTAGCTCCTCTGCCCGTGCCTCTGGCTTCTGCTGCCACTTCTTCCTGACCCCTCATCAAAGCCACTTAGAGAACTAAACACCTGATTCAAGACGATGGGCAGGGCCGAAGGGGCGCGTGCGCTTCGGGCAGCACTGCATGCAGCTGTCTGTCTTCTCAGCACTCAGGCTCCTACCACAGGCCGCGCTCCTACACTAAACCCAGCCAGAAAGCATCGTTTGAGCTGACTCTCAACGTCAATTATTAACAACTGACTTAAAAAAAAACAACTGACTTTTCCATTCTCTTTTTAAAAAATTGTAGGACAGGCATGCAGCATCGACCATTTCCGTATTATAGCTCTACGGCATTAAGCTCATTCGCACTGTTTTGCCACCATCACCACCACCTACAGAGCCTGGTTACCGCCATCCCCTTTATTTCCAATAAGGAAACTGCCAACTGGAAAGACCGAATACTTGGCAAAGGCCACACTGCTGCTATCAACAGCCAGTTCTGAGTACATGACTGTACATGTGGCATATGACAATAATCTCAGTACTCGGGAGGCTGAGGCAGGAGATTTGCTGCAACGCGGAGGCCAGCCCAGGCTACACAGTGACTTCAAGGCGACCCTGACCTGCATAGGGGGATCCTGTCTCCAAGACAAAACAAAACAAGCCAATTCTGGCTGCAATACCTGCGCTACACTGCTCATACTGCACTTCCTTTAGTAAAAGCAAAAGAAGTAAACACAGCCTGTAATCCCAGCACCCAGAAGGCTGAGGCGGGAGGACTGACATGAGTTCAAGGTCAGCCTGAATTATAGAGCAAGACCTGTTCTCAAACCCCCCAAAAAGTAAAGAGCAATTAAATAAAATTAAGTGGATCAAATTTCATCCAAAGCGGTCTAAGAGTCCTGAAAATTGCTTATTAAAGGTAGCTAGCCCCTACCAAATGCTTCTCGTGCACTTAGCCTCAGGGGCCTTAACACCGCCCCGCTGCACAGATGATGAAGCAGAAGCAGAGTTTAAACAACTTAAAGGTGGCCACACAACTCTTACCTACACCCCTCCCATAAAACCGTGATACTCCTTTAAGATAAAATGAGATACAGTGGATTTCAGAAATATTCCTGGACACAATTTTTTACTGGGGCTGGGGATTTAGCTCAGCGGCACAGCGCCTGCCTGGCAAGTGCAAGGTTGTGAGTTTGATTCCCGGTACTGGAAAAAAAAAACAAAAACAAAATAATAATAATTTTTTACTCAATCAACAAAATTTTCCTGGTACTGGAAAAAAAACAAACACAAAGTAATAATAATTTTTTACTCAATCAACAAAATTCACATTAGAAAAAACTGAACCACACCAGTGGAAGCTTTACATGTACAATAATGACTGCACTGCACACACAGAAACAAACTGCAGTAGTATAGACTCAGAGGCTTCCCATCTCAGCTGCTCAGCACCAAAGTCCCCCGGTGTTTAGTCAGCCTGTGTGTTCCGAAGGAGTCCCGGACGTCAAGCCAGGCACATCTCAACGAGCCATTACGACTGGTGGGGTAGCTCTGGGCCTCACACACGAATCACCGACGAAAGACATGAAGGAAGTGGCCTCTTCCAGACCACAGCTCTTTACTTTCCATAGAACGTCTGCCTTTCACACCCGCAGCCTTTGTGCACGAGGGCATTTTCACTCGCCTCACAAACAGAAATCCAGAATCAGGATTCGCAGTGACACCATTAGCATGAGCCACGCAGCGTTTCCTCTGACAGCACACAGGGAGAAATGACCCCAAAGGTCTGCCTCAGCTGCCTAGTCCCCAAGCAACAGTTCCTTTTAAGGGAGTGCTCTGCCGGTCCAACAGGTTAATGCGGACAGATAAAGGTACACTCTGCCGTCATGTAGAAATAACTGTAAAGAAAATTTTAAAATGAGTCACATGCAGGGACGCGCGCCTGTAATCCCAACTCCTCGGGAGACTGAGGCAGGAGGACTGAAAGGTCAGAGGGAGACTCAGTCTCAAAAAAAAGTAAAATTAAAAAAAAAATTTAAATGCGTGCGTCAGAAATTTCAGCCCACTGCAAGAGGACAGAGAGCATAAAGACCACTAAGGGTGCATCACCACACGCAGAGAGCTGCGTAGCCAGGAAGAGAAAAAGGGAAAGAGGACAGTGGCCCACAAAACACCCACACACTGGGCGCTCGGGCTCACACACCACAATTACAGCAGTGTGAGTGAGCACAGCACACAGCCTGACAGTGCACAGCGTCAAAAGCAGCCACACTTTCCAACCACCACAAAACATCCCCGCAGGCTCGGAGAAGCCCTACTATACAATTTAGAACACTTCCTTCTGCCAACTAAAAAAAAGCCCTCAGTTAAGCCCGCGCTTCTGCTCTATGAAAGCCTCTTCCACTCACTCCCTCCGCCCAGACCCGTGGAGACACAGCCACTGTCACCAGAGAACAGAAAAATGTTTCCTAGGCTAAACGGCAAATCAAACTTCACTTCAGGAGCTGGGGATTTAGCTCAGTGGCACGGCGCCTGCCTGGCAAGAGCAAGGTCGGTACCAGAAAAAAATTCAATTCCCGGTACCAGAAAAAAAAACAAAAAAAACCACTTCACTTCAAATTTATGAGATGAGACCTTCTTGACTTTTCAGGGTGTGGTATTAAGGACTGTCAGTAATCTTTCAAAGACAAAACTTCCAGTGATTATCATTAGCAACTTTTTTTTTGTGGTACTGGGGATTGAACCCAGGTCCTTCCCACTGCACTGCATCTCCAGCCCATTTTTATTTACTACTGTGAGCCAGGGTCTCACGAATCCATTAAACTGCCTGGGGTAGGCTGTAACTTATAACACTCCTGCCCCAGCCTCCCAGAATGCCGGAGGGACTACAGCCACGCGCCACCATGCCCAGCTGCAATTACTCGCTCTGAGCACTAACTGTAGCTGAGTCACATGTTTAACAGTCTCCATCTCACCTGATCCTTCCACCAACTGTACAACACACATGTCGTTGTCCTCTAATCCTCCTTCCCCTGGTGCTCAGAAAGAGAAGTGACCGCCCAGGCCAGGCGCCGTCCAGGGGGCAGGGTTCCAGAGCCTGACTGACCTCCAACACCCTGTCATAAATGTCCACTTGGTCAAGAGTCAACAGTTTACAAAATACTTTCGTCTGTATCTCAAAACCGCCTCCAAACCAAACCTACACAAGCCATTCCCGTGTGAGTGAAACCGCAATGGCCAGAACTTTGGACGTTTTTCCTCCTACCCATCCCTTCAGAAACACACCACGCACAAGCAGGATTTCCCAAGTGTGACCCTGCCCAGGTGAGCCGCCTTAGGTATTCTGGCCAGTTCCGTTTCCTGGTTTTATTTCATTTTTAGCTTCCTGGTTTTAAATGCACTACACCCAAAAGAACAAAGTACTGTTGAGTAATTTAAACATGGTGTCTAATGAAGTGAGTCCTAAATAGTTCTGTAAGGTACTTGGTATGAAGGTCACTTTTACTTAAAAAAGAAATAAAAGTCCTGCCAGATTAATTCACCTTTCTCTATAAATAATAACCTCCAGGTTCCTACACAGAACAAACAAGAGAGGCTGTCCCTAACAGCTGTGGAGTCACCAGAGGAGAACAGACTCATTCCCCACCTCTTCCCTCCACTAAAGGGAGTCTACTTTTAGTAAGATGCCACCAATAAAGCTATCATATTCTATTCTCAGCGAAACACAATAGTCACCTATTACAGAGTAACTTGGAGGCAGTTACACATGAGAAAAATACACCTATCATTTTATTATTAAGCTAGAAAGATGCCCTGCTGACAACCAACAAAAGGTCTCCCAGCAACGGAAAAGCAGAGAAACTAAGCAAAGATTTCCTTTCTCTGGAGACATGAAACTCTCATTCAGTCAAGAAAGATGGATTTTGTCACTTATTATTCTCTAAAATGGAAAGTGCCACATGGAGAACATAAATGGGTAAATTGCATCTCGGAGCAACGTGCTCTGTGCCAAGTTACAAAGCCTGTGAATACAAGGGGTGTATTAATGGAAAGACTGATACCATCTTACTACAGTGGCCTCTCTGTAGCTCCAGACAATGATCTGTTGAGGGTTTTCCAGGGATTTTGAATATGCAACCTCCATACAAGCTCCCTTTTAAGGGGGCTGGCTCAGGGCTGACCAATTCCTCCAGGGAAAGAAAGCCAAAAGCCCCCACATGGGCTTAGGGCTGAGCGGCTGGAGCTGTAGGCCTGGGAAGACTCACTTGGAGACAAAGGAGTGGTAGGTGGGCCGGGAAGAGCTGGATCAGCCTGGGTCCGCCTGCCCGCTGGACACGGACTTTCACAGGGACCCAACGGTAGGGGGAAAAAAAGAAGGAAGTTTGCATTGCTAACCTGCAAGGGAGAAGTCAGTCACCCCTGAGAGCAAACCACAAGCGAGGAATGGAGGAGGAAAACCAGAAAGGCCACACGCGGGTTTTCCAAGACAGTGCTGACCCCCGACTGTCATCTCAGAGGTAGGCTTAGCAGGGGGCGCCCAAGTCCCATTTTATCTCCCCACACCCCCCAAAAAACAAAAACAACAACAACCAAAAACTGCTTCAAAAGTACAGAGGGGTAGGACACTCGGGCAAATCCAGCCAGCCACATGGGAATTCGCATATTCCCTTTTTCCTTGAGGGGAGAAGGGCAAACCATGGAAAAAAGGACCCCGCTGCCACCCATGGAACCAAGCCAAAGAAGCCCTGGGGGAACTCCGCTGCGGCCGATTCCTCGGAGGGAAGGCCCGCTCCGGGGCGTTCCTGGCACCCCCAGACACACAGACCCTTCCCACTTTCCTGGCCCAACCCCCCACAGCCCTTCCTGGACTGGGCGACAGCCCCTGGGCCTCCCGAGCGCGCCTGGCAACTCACTCTCCCTAGACTCGCACCCCGCCAGTCCACTTGACCCCACAAAACCTACTTTCAGAGCCGGGAGTGGTGGTGCACGCCTGTAATCCCAGCACTCAGGAGGCTGAGGCAGGAGGATCGTTGCGAGTTCGAGGCCCGCCTGGGCTACAAAGTGAGCTCAAGGCCAGCCTGAACTACGTAGCAAGACCCTGTCTCAAAAAGACAGACAGACACACAGACAGACAGACAGACAGACACACACACACACACACACACACCCCTACTTTCAGACTGCCCAGGTCTCTGCACCCCTTCCCTCGAGCCTCCCGAATCGCTGCCCAGACCTGGCCTCCTCCGCCACCCCGAATCCTCCCTGCCACTCGGGCCAGCCAGTCCCGCCACCTCCCAACCCAACCTCGGGTCCCCAACTCCCTCCGCGCGCCCCCTCAGCCACAGCCCCCCGCCCGCACACCGCCACCGCAGGCTCTAGGCTCCCGCTTAAAGCCGCCTCGGGTCCGCAGTCCGCCGAGCCTCTCTCAGGACCCCCTTCCCGCCTGAGCCCCCGAACCCCGACTCGACTCCCCACCGTCGCCTGAGCCCTCGCCGCGGCCACCAGGTCCCGAACCTCGCCCCGAGCGCCCCCACTGCCCGCGGGGTC